GCTTTTTGCCTGAAAATTTTCAATTGTGCATTCTTAGCTTCAGACTTGTTTATTATAATAAAGGACCATATAAATGCATTTGTTTTAGAGAGAGAAGTTGTGTTTACATTAAGATAAATCTTGCTTCTTTAAACGTAGTAGTATGATTCCTCTGATTTCTGCCCTAATCTGGAGGAATTCTCTATTTTTACTTACCTTGTTTTGACCTACTTCACCTCATCCATTAAAGATAAAAAAAAAAATTGAGATTGTATTTTAACCTGGAATTCCTTTAACTCTCTCCTGTTCCTGTCCGCAGTAATGTGGCTGTGGTTCTCAGGGATCAGATGTAGGTGATGCTGGCCCTTCGCATTCGTTCCTCAAGAGGGGAAGAGGGTCTTTTTGATGGGACCCCATTCTGCCCATCCCTGCTCTGCCTTCACTACAGTCGGGTGTTGATGCTGTGTCAGCGTCTATTAAGATGAAGTATGATCATTTCCATACAGCTGGGTGGCGGTTGTGGGAGTTTACATTCTCACAGCAAAGCTCAGACTTGCTCGGCCAATTTAGATGTCAGTAAAGCATTTGTTACTTATTTTCAGTTTTATCATTGGTTGTAATTTATACTTAGAATTGAAAATGTTAACATGTGTGTCTGAGTTTGTTTTAATTAAGTGTATAATTAAGCTAATGAACCTTGTAAAAATGTAGTGGTGTGATCCTTAATATAATCTAAGCAGTTAAATTTCTAATTATGCATCCAAAATCATGTACCAAGATGCAGCGTTTCAATGGCTTGCTTTCTGTGACTATATTCTTCTTCTTTGCCCTTTTTTTTTGGTGAGAAACATTGTTGAAAAGCCATGAGGAAAGACTTAAAAGAAATATATGTATATTTGCATATTTTTTATTTTGGGAAAATTATTTAGAAGTGAGATTTGTACATAGTGGACATAGTATTTTTTCCCCCAAATTTAAAAAAAGGTATAGGAAACAGTGGAAGAGGAGTAGGTTTGGGGATGTTCAGATTTACTAGAAAAAAATCCATTTGCTCAAAAAAGCATGTATGCCAAGTAGAGTTTACATTAGATTCATACGGGAGGTGAACGAGGTTCTGTTTCACATACTCCTAACCCCTTATAGGCATACCTTCATAAATCTGCCCTACCACGTTAATAACTGCACCAAGTGTTTTCCCTATGTCTGTCAGCACAGCCAGTCTGAGGTGCTTCCACTCCTGAACTACCCGCAAGCACAGCTCACCCAAGCTCCTCTCTTCCTGCTCTCCCCTCTTATTTTTTGCAAAGTGGTTTCTTCTTCTAATGGAAAAGGGTTGCCCTTAATAAAGGATTCTGGCACTAACTGCTAAGAAGAACAACCATTCTCTATTCCAGCACATTGACGTGCCGAAATGTTCTGAACTGCATTAGCTTTAGTTATTTTCTCAATAAAAGTGTTACAGGAGCCACCACACCATAGGTAGTCAATTCTTTATTACTTTAGAGCAAATTCTAGTTGCTGGTTGAATTTGCAAAATATATACCTAAAGTTTGTTTTTAATCATACTATTGGAGAGGCCTATAAATTGAAAGTGGGAGGTAAGGAGATGGATCTGCTTGCACACGCGCATTTTTCAGGAAGATAAAAGGATCCCTTATTCCTGCCGGTTGTTTTCCCTTCAGAGGGTGCTTTTCATCCTCAGCCTCACTGTTATGTTATCAGTTCAATTTTCTAGTGAAATTTTTTTGATCGTTCATTCCCATTCCTTTTGTAATCATTTTCACCTAGTGAAGCAAATGAGATAATTTTGCAGAATGTACCACTTTACTTTTAAATTAATCCATTCTTTTTGAGAGAATGATTCTAATAGCGTGGTCAAGTATTTAGAAATCAGCAGGCTACTAACTTCTCCATAATTCAGTCTGTTCCCGCTGATTCCCTGATCACTTGCTGTGTCACTCAGGGTGAACTTCTTCCTTTTCTGCACTTCTCGCCTCCACCCCCCATCAGTTCTCCCATCTCTAGTGCTGAGAAAAAGGATTCTGAGATTTTCGTGACTATTTTAACAATGGTTGGATTCTAAAAGCCTCATTTAATAAACTTCTGTTGTATTTAATGTAAATGTGATAGTGTATTTATGGTTTATAACATTTTTACTCTATGTTAGGATTACTGATACATTTGGCCATATATGAGGGCTTATTCAGAAAGACAAGCCATTCAATAAATGAAGCATGTCATGTGTTTTTTACTTTGGATTATTATTCTAGAATAATTCCCAGAAAAAAAAAAGGTAGATTTAAAAAAGAAAAATGATTGTCTAGATGAATATAAATCCATAGACCTATTCATCTGGAAAATATTGATGCCACTTGTAGAATTAAATTATAGATTTCCAAGTTATGTTGTTTTAAACTGTCATAAACACTGAAAGAATCTATCAGGAATAAATTTAAACAAATTATTGATACTAGTTAACTGCTAAGTAATTTCCATTAAATATATATATCTATATTTTATATATCTATATATAGAATATATCTATATATATTACTCAAAATATTCTGTGGGGTATTTTAGAATATATAAAATATTTCAGAATACAAAAAAACATAATTATTAGTTGCTTTAGATTACAGAAATATAACCATATTGAGAAATTGCTCATGATTTCACTGATTAAAAATGAATTAAGTAACTGGAGTGACTCTTGGTAGGACATATTTTTACTAAGGGACTGAATGCATGTGCTTGAAAAAGTCTGTAGACGTGGCTTTTCGCGACAGGTGTGGCACCACATGTATGGCTGTGTTATGACTGCCTGTGGATGGCTGAGTCGTCGTTTCCTTCAGGCTGTTTCTTTATATGGCGGCTCTGATGGTGAAGTGGCCGAGGGTCTTCTAGTTGCAGTATTATCAGTAACTGTGATTTAATTTGATTTCTCAAATTACTTTGTCCTATTCAACAGAGTCGTAGATATATCTTAATAATTTGATTCCTCTGATAGAACACTTTGTTCAGTTGCACATAGAAATGACAAACAGTAGGGAAGCATAGGGAGATAGATGTGGGCATGGTGACCTTGTAACAATAACTTAATTCTTGGTGTGACATATTATGGAATCTCTTCCTTCCAAATGCGGACTCAGACAGTGAAGTTGCTCATGCAGCTCTGTCAGTGTCTTTTAGTCTTACTTTTGAGCTGAGGGAATTTTTATATTTATTTAGTCCCAATATATGGTAGTAAATAACTAAAGGTTCCTATGTAATATTGTTTTCATCAGTCACTAAGGTTTTTAGACTCTTATACTAGTGGGTGCTAATCCTCAAAAAGTAAAGTTACAACAGGCAATTTAAATATTATTTCCCCTTTTTATTCTTGTGAGTTGGTAGAAAAAAGGTCTAGTAAAACACAATGCCTCTTTACTATATTTAATAGTAAAAATTAGAATGAAGTTAAATGGAGACTCTATAAATATTCATGAAAGAAACAAAGTTAAACTGCAAAATAACAAGCGAAAAAGGACCTTTGCTTTAATTTGATTAATTTCAGTTCAATTATATATTTGGTATAAATGATACTGTCATGAAAGAAAGGACCTGAATCTAAATTTCATTTCATTTATATTCTATTTTGCAAAAAGCTTATTAGAAATATGAGACTTGTTTGCCTCAGCTAAGCTTAGTCATGCATTCATTGAGCTCTCAGTGATCAAGACCTTACTACTAGCTGAATGCCTGGGAACGTACTGCTGAGTCCCGTCTTCTCTCCTCCAGGAGCTTACAATGCGGTAATAGAGATGAGGTGTGTGTGTGAGTAACAGGAATGGAGTAAGATAAATGGCCATAGAACAGATAACAATTACTGTAAAAGTTTAAAAGAGGAAGCTTTCTATTTGGGTATCTTTCTACTGGAAAGTATATATAGGATATTGCAAATTGTATTCTGTTGAAAAATTCGTATGTATAGGCTATTGGAAATTATGGTGTCTTCAACTTTAATTTATGCAGGATTCTAAATTCTAGTATGTATATGGGCATTTTTTGTCTCTATTAGGATTATAAAAGAAAATGCAAACTTGGGACAAGCCAAAAATAAGTTCATAAAAATTTTACCATGATCGTAATACAGATTTTATGCTAACCATCAAGTATATCACAGCATCAGAACTAGGTAGAGATTCCCCTTCCTTATACTGTGATCATATGAAGTGTTTGCTCTTTGTCCCAGGGTGTGTAGAATGCCCTTCCTGTCAGTCAAGAAGGTAGTGTTCTAGACCAAGTACACTAGTCATTTTTGGTTTTCCCCCTCCATATTGGTCTCTTTTCTTTCAACCTGAAGTTTGAGTACACATTGGAGAGATGAATGATGACTGGTGTTATTTGAACCTGTCACTGGCATTCTCCTCTTTTTCTTCAAATGGGAATAATGGCAACAAATTACTTACTTTTGAGGGAGACCTAACAAGATTTGAAACTCAGAATATTAGGCACTATCTAATTCAGATGCCAAGAATAGACTCTTCTCTTTTTGAAATCTCTCCTGTGTTCCTTCTTACACGTACAGTGCGCTGAGGTTAGCCTTCCTTCGTTACCTTTGCTTTCACAGAAAGTCAGTTGTTGCCATCAGCAGTGTACCAGCCGGCTTAAAACAGAAAACTGCCAGAGCTGTTCACAAATACATGCTCATCCCCGCTCCATACTGCAATATACACTGAACCATCAGGTGAACTCTGTTGGAAGCATTCTTAAGCATAGGGAGAAGTATACAGTTTGTTTCAGAAGCGTAATACTGACAAGCCAGAAACAAGTTCTTGTATTTATTGAAAGGATCCATTTCTACACATCATTTATAATGTTGTGGTTTTTGTGTTGGTGTTACTTTGAAATGTATTAATAATGATTTAATGCACTCGTTTATTAGGAAGTCTTTGTAAATATAATAGCAGCATTAAAGCAATAGGGCATTGTGCACGGTGGAAATATTACATGTGTAATGATTTGCATTCTTAATGTTCCAGAACCCTGGGGTTATTAGTAAAACGATTGGAGAAAGGTGGTAAAGCTGAACAAGAAAACCTTTTTCATGAAAATGATTGCATTGTGAGGATTAATGATGGTGACCTTCGAAATAGAAGATTTGAACAGTAAGTGTGTGCTGGGTGCCTGGCCGTTCTTTCATGTTTTAGGCATGATAGAGTGCAGTCGATTGAAATGCTTCAAACAACGTGTCATGTCTGTGATCTGTGTCTTTACACTGGAGACGAGTATTTTCTGCCATTATCTAGCTTTTAAAAATTTAATCAAACTCTAGGTAATTACTACCATTAGACTAGATTTCAAAATGCCCTCTGACTGATAGAGCACTTCTTAAAATATTATGGGCCCAATTTAGCTTTACAGTTTTGCTGTTTTCTCACTCTTTGGAAGATTCACCAGGTTGCTAGTTTTAATTATACTCTAACTCACATTTCCAACTTTGTTGCACGTAATGTCTCTCAGTACAAATAAGCAGATAAAAACTCCTTTGAACTATAGTGTTGGGGTTCACTCAGATTTTTTTTATCCTGATTCAAATCCTTATTCAATAAAAATGATGAAAATTGTCCATTTCCTATAAAACAAGGAAAGAGTGAGCAGAAATCATAAGGACTTGGTGTAAGGGAACCACCATGACATGGCTTCTCAACCTGGTCATGGAATGGCATTGGGGCTGACAGTTCTTAATATTTTGAGTCACTGAGGCTGCATTGGGGTTCTTGAGAATTTTGCATACACAGACTTGAATTAATTTTACTAATGGATAGTTGCTTTCTATAGTTTTCTAAGTATATTTATAAATATATTTATTTCTTCAAAAACTCATATGGTCCCCCATAAGGAAATATTTTATAATTTTTAAAAGTTGTATTAGATAATGTAGAGAGATGGTCGTATTTAATTTCTATTAATATTGAAATTATAATACCTCTGTTGTGCTTAAAACTGTTATTTAGGGACTTACAGTTGAGAGCACAATGTTTTTTCTGTAGTTGTCATTTTGATTTAGAGAATGAGACATTTATATTTGGAGAAACAGCTATGCTTATATCAGAGCTTGCAAACTTGATTGATAAATGGGTTACTAGAATTGTGTTTTTCAGTTTCAACAAAGTCTGTCAGTTCTTGTTGCTTAATTAGTATACTTAATTAAGCTCATAATATCTTCTAGTCTGCCAGTCTTAATTTGCTAATTTTCCACTCTTTCTCAAACCCAGAGCACAACATATGTTTCGCCAAGCCATGCGTACACCCATCATTTGGTTCCATGTGGTTCCTGCAGCAAATAAAGAACAGTATGAACAACTATCCCAAAGTGAGAAGAACAATTACTATTCAAGCCGCTTCAGCCCTGACAGCCAGCATCCTGACAACAGGAGTGTGAACAGCGCGGGGCTGCAGGCGATGCAGAGAGCGCCCCGGCCGGCCCACCCGCCCGAGCAGACAGACCCTCACCCCCGACTTCTACCTCAGAGCGCACACCCCCCAGGAAAGCCGCCATCAGCTCCGGCCCCAGCACCACAAAATGTATTTAGTACCAGCATCAGCAGTGGTTATAACACCAAAAAAATAGGCAAGAGGCTTAATATCCAGCTTAAGAAAGGTACGGCCCAGCTTGTGTTTGCCGTGTGGAATTTATTTTAAAAGTCAACCAGCTAACCCAAAGTGCCCTAAGTTTTATGTCTCATGTGAAAGAACTGATATAACGACTTTTAAAAAAAAAAGTATTTAAAATTATATTTTTCATGCTTTTCAGGTTCGTTTTGATACATAAAAGTTAAAATGCAAAGTTCAGAGAACAAGGCTTTAAAAAACAAGTTTATGTGAAGAAGGTTGTAGTTACGACTGCAGTGAGATTTTTGCCAATGAAGGAAGATGGTTTCAGGATGTTATTATCGACCCCAAAACAACAGTGAGGATTTGACTGTCCTGGTCGCTCTACTTAATGTCTACATGCAGCCCTCAAAGAGGGGCTCAGCAGTCCTCCACTCCAGCCTCACCATTTTGGGGATGGGAAGTGACTGATTTGTTTGGAGCTCTCAGTGGTTTCTGGTAGAATGCCAAGAAGCCAGGCCTTGGACTCCTCGTCTCCTGCTTTTCTGGGGTGTTACATTGCTTCCCTTTCTTAAGGTGACAAGGAAATTGTAATGGCCTTGCTAACTCTTTATTACATACGCCTTATATCAATTTATTTATTTAATTATCCCCTTCCCATGTACAGGAGGCATGATTTTCCATTTTGGCCTCTGCCATGACTCAGAGCAGACTGCCAAACTTGACTTTCTGATTTCCAGCCATTGTCCCCTCCAGGCACTGAGACACAACTTTGCTGTTAATCATCTATTTTAACTGAGCATTTTGATATATTTTAAAGCCAGGTCTTTCAAAATGGTGTCATTATAAGGAATACTTCTCTTTTTATGAGCTCCACCAACTCCTACAGTTAGACAGAAATGAGTCCAAGAGAGGTTGAGTGATTTCCTCAAGTCACACGGCTGTTGGCAGCAGATTCTTACTAGAACATTTTCCATATCCTGACATTTAGACCGTTCTTCTTCTTCTTTCCATTTGGGGTAGGGTTTACAAGGTTGTAAACTCTGAGACTGCTATTTCCTTTTTAAATCATATTCTTTCATTGAACTTTATGTGAACCACAAATTCCTTATTTCTGGTTACTGGCTTTTAAGCTCCAAATACTTGGTTGACATGATCAAGAGTTGACAGCTCGTCTCTACTTTTGAAACCCCTTACAAAAACAGAGTTGTATCAGCATAAACCCCTTTTAGCTCTGTTAATTCCTAAATGAGGGAAATATCAGATCTTCTTTCTTCCTTTTTCTCTACTGAAATGACAGGCCCTAGTTTTTAAGCAAAAACATGTCAAGAACCACAAATAGAGTTGTATAAAAAATAAAATTCTTCTGGGGATCTCTTAACAAAGCTAAAATATTTTACTTGGCCATTGTCATAAAGATAATAGTGCATAAATATCTTTGCCCTTTGATACAGGCATATTCTTTTAGGTAATTACAGTTTTTCACACAGTTATTATATTTTAGCAACTTAATGGTACGCTATGAACTTTTTTAATGAAGTAAAATTTTATTTGCCATTAAAAGAATCATTCTTTTGAATACAGTGATTAACAGCTTTATTTTAATAGCATGGAAAGCGATATGATTACATTTTACACAGGCTAATTTAGAAAGACTGTACTTAATCAATATAAGAAAATAGGAACGATGATTTTCTTTTAAACATTTTTCTGACCTTGAATAATCTAAGTGATTTAGAGCCCCATAGATCTATCTTGATTTTAATTTACTAACTGTGAGAAGGTATGACAAAAGGCAGAAACTGCCTGTGCATTCTGCCAATACTTACAGATATTTTATATAAAAAATAATTTTTACTAAAAATAAGGGTGAAAAAGGATGCTGACTGTCTTTGATTAGTACTAAAAACAGATATTTTAATAATAATGATTGTATGAGAATTGAACAACCTTTCATTGGAGCTAATAGATGATATTTTGACCAATTATTATTGTGACATTTAACATTTTTATGAAGTACAAGAAAAACATAGGGTGTATCGGTGTTAAACTTTAAATTCAGTTCAGAGTGAACTGACATGCTTTGAGTGACAGGAGTTCTGCATAAACTGAGGTCAAGTCTAAGTAGTAAACAGAGAAGCCTTCATTATAATGGTTCTCTGGTATAGTTTTGGAACTCTGTCATATAACATGACAAAATAGAATAGCCCCTATGTACTTGCTTCCATAATTATGATTTCTTAATATTTATTGCCATTTTGGCTTCTCAAGTACCCTGCTCTTTTGTAGAAATTAGCTTTTTAATAAAGTCAGAGGAGAAGGTCAGTAATCTGTTTCAGTCAGTGCAAAATGTTTTGTTGGCTTTGCTAAATGAAAATTGATATCTATTTATCTTTCTTTTAAAGGTCATTGCCTGAACTTTTAGCTTACAGATTTAGGGGTTATTGCTGATATTTTAATAGTATTGAGGTTCATATAACCGTTAGTCTTTGTAGTTCATACAAATTACTATCGCAAAAGGAGAATAATTTAGAATTCTTTCTTAATAAATGTTATTGCAAGTCATTGGAGTTTCACGAAAGCACAGAGACATATGGAAACGTCCCAGCAGAATAATTAGGAAGATTTCATATAGACAATATGCCATTCAAATCTTCAGCACAGAAGACTTAAGAAATTAACAGTCCAGGCACATTAAAGTGACTTCAGACCTTAAGTAAATGAATGTTTTGTTTGAACTTGAGAATATTTACAGTAGATTTTCTTACAAGTATAATGATTCTTTTCTTCATTTCTACTTTGTTTCTTCTTTAACCCATATTTGCATATTACCCATACTTGTTTGTTTACTTACAGATATGTACTTTTGATTATGATTTTGTACTGAATGTTGCATCAAATTAATGTATTCTTCTATAGATTTTTTTCACCATTACAGATCTCTTTGCTCTTCTCGTAATAAGCAAGTATTTGTCCTAATATCATTTTAACTGAAATAGAACCTAAGGTAACTTTTTAAAAAACGCTAGTAGAAATTAATCATGATTGGAAGTGTTTTAAAAATTTTGTGATTCATTGAAACTTTGTCATTATCTCTGCATTTTTTCTTGGCACATTTTGGCTTGGCACATTTTGGCTTATTGCTTGTGAGTTCTAGTGACATGTAATCCTTTCTCTACACTGAATTGAGCTCATAAGAGTGCCTATCAAGAAACCTGCCAAAGAACCTAGAATTAAATTATTCCAACCAGCACAGTAATTTATAAATGCCTCATTAATTTCAGTACCTTTAAACATAATATGATGATCCTCAGACTTGGTAGCCATGATCTGAGATGGCTTCTTCATCAGGTAATTTACCCCCCCCCCCCTTTCTTTTTAAATTGAGAAATACACATGGTAAGATTGAGGTGAATTAGAAGAGAACTAGGCAAAGATAATATGGTTCATCCTGTCAGTAAATTGCTGTGAGTAATTATAGTTTGGGGAGGTTCTGTTATCTGTATCTAGAAAAATTTCTCCTTTCACTATTTCATCTCCATCTCCTTGAGAATTTTCTCTTCTCTTGCTCTGCTCCTATCCTTCAAATCTAGCTACCTTTATTGCCCAATAATACTTGATATTTGAGGCACTATGAGTTTTAACAGAAATTTTCTTTTTCATGTGGAGAAATTGTTTATTTTCGTAATCAAAGATTTAAACCAATTTAAAAATTTTAGCAGGCATATTTGTATACTAACTTTCATCTGTCTTTGAGTAGATTGCTATTTCTTCTTAAATTAATGAATTTTGATATATAAACCATTTAAACTTCCATAATTTAGTCTGTTTTGAAAAATCTGTTACAACTTTAAAGTATTAAAAGAAATGTCAGCCATTGTGAAATTTGCAAAATGTTGAGTTGAGTTAGAGAATAATAACAAGTCCTTTATGATGGTGCACCTGTAAAATTTAAGGTCTTTCGTTTTACTTCTTTATTTTTTTCTGGTGTGTGTTTAGGTACAGAAGGTTTGGGATTCAGCATCACATCCCGAGATGTGACAATAGGTAGCTCAGCTCCAATTTATGTGAAAAACATCCTCCCAAGAGGGGCGGCAATTCAAGATGGCAGACTTAAGGCAGGAGATAGACTTATAGAGGTGAGTGACTTCTCGAAGTCAGAAGTTCCACATTTCCTGAAAAGTGCCATTTTCAAGGGTCATTTCTTTTTAACATTTTTGTAAAATATGAAATTAAATTGTATATTTTAGCAGAAGTATGCATCACAAAACAATGTATTTCTTCTTTACTTTTACATTTTTCCGTGTTATTTGATGAGAAATATCTTTTCATTTAGTTTGCTCATGAATTTTTAGTTATTCAGACATATGAGATAACATTTTGTCATTATGTAAGTACAATGTCTATTAGGTTATATTTTTACATGGCTTTAAATTTATGTTTGGCAATGTAGAAATGTTATCTCCTTTGTAATCAGAACAGAGATAAATGAAAACAGTGTGTCTTGATGAGAGGAACAAGGAAATTTTGAAACGGCAACGTGGAGAATGAATTGAGACATAAAAGTCAAACGTCAGAAAGAAAGGCAAATAGTTTTTCAGAATTTCCTTTCTGTGCCTCAGGAGTTTCAGTTCATTGGTCTTTGAGGCTCTCTTTGACATACATAAACGTATATAATTTATGTTTGTTTGAATGTTTGTACAAATAGAAATAGAGTGGAGAAAGATTCAGAAAAAGTATACATTATTCGCTGTTGTTCTTAGTATTTTCTTCAGAAAACATAGTCTGTATTCTTATCAGCAGATGCTGTGTTTCCTGCTTGTTGACTGGTATTCAAATACTAATCTTAAAGTAAATTTGTATGACATTGCCCTTTTTTCTTTACTGGTAGTTTCATACGTGGAAAAGTAGTGAGCGAGGGAATAGCTTCCAGATTTTTTCCATGTGTACATTTTGGGCTTAGATTTCTTAGATCTGACCCCTGTGCTTTGTGTCTTGTTTGTGTGACGCCATTTTAAAGAGGACTAATAGAGGCTAAATCAAAGGGGAGGTCTGAGGACAGATTGTATGTAGGCTGTCGTCCCCGCAAGGGCCCCTGGTCCTCGGGCACGAGCTGAGTCGTGCTAGTCCACATCTGCAGCTGCACCTTGTTCTATTGGTCACAGTCTCAGCTGGGGCTGGAGTCTTGGTCCAAAAAAAAATCCTTTTGTCCCTGCTGGGCTTCTCTCGCTCTCCCTGCATCCCCCTTTCTTTTCTTTTTAAAGATTATCTCTTTATTTTTGAGTCTCTCTTTCATCGCAGAACTGGTTTGTACTTTCACCACGTTACAAAGACTTTTGTTTTTCTTTCTGAGCAATGGGAAGAGGCTGCAACCTGTATTTCTTCAGACTTAGGCTTTATTTTCTATAGCTATCTGCTTTCTCTTAAAACTAAAACTATATTTTTGCATGTTTTAAACCTAACTTTCTAGTATTTGTAGTTTTTTTCTATGTAATATCAATAATTCTGTGAGCAGTTTTTCTGAGTATCTGGACATTTGGTAGCATACATAATAAAAAAAATTAGTCACTTAATACTTTTTTTATCTAGAAATCTTTTGCTTTCTTTGAACCTGTTATTACTTACCTTTTCCTGCAGTTCCTTAATACTAGTATATTGAGCTATCTAAGATGATTTTTAGCAGAGGGGGGACAGTTCCAAAACATTTTAACTACAGGAAAATTTTGATATTTAATTTAAATAATATACTTAATTGCCTTGGGCAAAATGTTATTTTTATCTAAAGAGGATAATATAGAATACTTTTTAAAAGAAATTTCCACTCTCTTAAATATATAGTGCTTTCTGATAATGTTATTATACTTCCTATAAGATAAAAATGATGAGATTCCTCATGAATTGGTTGTTTCAAATCTCTTTTTTTGGAGGGGTAGAGTTCTCTTTTGATATTGAAAAATATCGAGGTGAAATATTGTTACCCCTCCCAAAATACTGTTATTTTGCAGAGATTCTTTTTTAATGTTTGCATTTCAGGGATAAAAAGTTATCTTCATCATTTTTGGTAATATCTCATTGAAAGTTAAAATATTTTTAGTGTGTTTTTACTACCCCCTTTTAAAGCAATGCCTTTTTATTTTGGTATAAGAAAACCTGTGATACACAAGCCTATCAAGATATCTCAGTTCAAAGCCAGTGAATTTTGTGTTAACTTGACATTTTAGATATATTTATTTATGACTCATTACTTGTTAATGCTCTGGTGGCTCTCGCTTTTGGTTTATTGATGAGCACTAAAAGATATACTGCTTTCTGTCTTACTTCTAGATTCCTGGTCTGCGTTTCTTTATTAGCCATAAGAGCCTGGTGGTTACCAGCTCATGGCAGAATTTACCATGAGAAGAGTTATGTTCCATAGCCGACATGATCAGTCCTAGAATGTGTGTCTTTTCTTCTGTTATCTGTTTGCACAGGATTGCAGCTGAAAACTTTTTATTTGTTTTAGGTAAATGGAGTAGATATAGCAGGCAAATCCCAAGAGGAAGTTGTTTCCCTGTTGAGAAGCACCAAGATGGAAGGAACTGTGAGCCTTCTGGTCTTTCGCCAAGAAGATGCCTTCCACCCCAGGGAACTGGTGTGTAAATTTAGAGCAGATGAAAGATTTCTGATGCGTGTGAGCCAGGGATCTGGGCTAGCTACCTGATGGTCAATGTTTATTGAGACATTTTCCAAGCAGTTTCTATATTTTATGTATCTTTCAGCCTTAACTTAATATGAACATTGTTTTCTCATCCTCCCTCAGTTTTAGAAAGAGACATCCACAATGTTGAGGGTAGGGGTATTTAAAAATCAGATTGCAGGGATATTTTCTGGGACAGCAAATGTTTATTACTGAACGCTTTCAGATGGATTGAATACGGCGACGTCGATTATTGCATAACTGTCACTTCAAAGGCTGTTGCTGAAAGCCTGCCGTCTTCTCCACTACATGTGACAAATTTTCATATTTCAGATTTTCATAGTATGTGTAGCTAAGCCAAATAAAATGCTTGCTTACTATTGTATGAAAAGAAGTACCTTAATTAAACATTACTATTGAAAATAGAAAGACCTAAGTGACAATAAGCCCCATGGCTACTAATTACTGATATAGACGTTATTTGGAATGACATATATGAAATGAAAAGGCATTTGTTTGCAAACTCTTTCACTTTTTATACATATGTCTAACTATTAAATAGGGGTATTTATATAGATTGGTGTAAATGAAATATGTATATTAAATTTACATAGTTCTGAATGTTTTTCTGCAAAAAGTGCTGGGTTTCATTTATATGTTAATTGGAGGAATCACCTTATCTTTTGATGTGGTGAGAAAATTGTTTTACTTCAAGTACAATCAGTATTTTAAATATTTCAAAACAGGGTCTAGAAGGGTCATTTTAGAACATTTGACACCTCTTTTAGCTAGCTTTTAGCTTTATCTAAACAGCAATTAATCCATATATACCAGAGTGGCAAGGTTTTAGGGGCACAGTTCCCAAATTAGTCATATAGCTCTAATTCTCTTAGGTTGATACCTCAAGTATGGATGTGTCATGGTTAATAAAATTTTTCTTTTATTGTAAATCAGATAAGCTTTAGTTATAGGAATATCCAATCCTTTGGTTACACATAGGTCCTAAAATTTACTATGATGTCATGGAAATTTCAGATTGTGATAAGGCTGCAAAGTGAACACTTGTGTTTTAAGTAGATTTTAGAAAATTATAAAAACTTCATTTCTATTTTTAAATGTTTAATGCATTATTTCTCAATTTAAATTCAGTTTTCCATTTTCCCCCCACTGTTATCCAATTTTGTGTTTAAAATGCCACCTGATCCTAAATCTGGAGATGTCTCTATTAAATTGTAAATGAGCACTTAAAAAAAAAATACTAAGCTTTAGATGTGATCTGCCGAAGCTTTAATTCTTCCCCGTATATCTCAGCCTAGTAATAGCATTATTAGATTGCCAAAGCTTCAACACTGCTTTTAAGCAGCCTTTCCCAGAGTTAGTGCCAACATATAGCCAGCTTAAGGTTGTTCAGGTTCTTCTTGTCCAATTTTGATCTTCCAGGCTTCTGTTTTTCCCTTCTGCTGCCTACTTTTTTTTTTTCTTGGTTATTTAATTTATTGCTTGTGAGCTTTTCATTAAGGACTGAGCCAGTAGGCCGTCAGTCTATTATTCACGTTGCAGCTGCTTTTCAAGATTTAAAAGAATGAAATTCTGAAAACTTAAAGGACAGCATGTAAAATTATCTTCAAAACCAATTAACAAAACTCCTTTCCTCTGTTTGGGGTGTCTGTGTTTGAATTCTGTGTCTAAAACAAAATACTTTTATCAATATGTGCCTTTTTTAATAAATCAACGTTATAACTGCCTGTGTAATTAAAGCAACTCTATAACATATGAAAAAAAAATCACATTTATAGCCTGTGTAATATTATAAATATAACGCTTGTGGTTCAGACTATGGTTCAGGCTGTTATTATCTGGTCTAGCTATCAAATTATAATATACCTTATAACTTAGTTGGGAAAATTAAAAAACAAAATTGGAAACAGTGCCATGAATAGGAAAGCAGCTTGGTGAGATTTGTTGTCCTCCGAATAATGTATTCTTGATGTACTGTGAATGAGTAAGTACAAATTTACATGTAGAAAAATTTCTTAAAACGCACGCCCCCACACACACAAGACAATGTAACCACGTCAATGAAGGTTTGGAAGACAGAATAATACATCAGCCAGAATATAATCACCCTCTATATATTTTGTGGATTATAACACCCAACAAAATTCCTTTAGAGTAACGCTTTGTGTCCCTGTGTGTTGAAGATGGCTTTGGTCAGTCTGTATTTATGTTTTTCTTCAATTCTTCTAGAATGCAGAGCCAAGCCAGATGCAGATTCCAAAAGACACGGTAAGAGCTTTGTCTTTATAGGATGCAGAGATGTTGGAAAGATAAATGGAACTAACTTCTTACTAATTAAATACGAAGTTACTCGTCCTCCCTTTTCCTGGCTCATAATAGATACTACATAGGTTTACTAAATTCTGAAGAGGTCTTAAGGTGACTTATTGCTACTACCCCAAATGGAGAATATTTCGTAATTATTTTTGGTGAGACAGGGGTAAAAAGAGAGGGGCATTAGAGTAGTTTTCTATACACCTGAATAATAAGAGGGACCAAAAATTGTTGAGCATAGTAGTTTGACATATATATAAAGGACTTCATGAGTTGTGAAATGCTGTATTATAAGTGGCTACAAAGAGGAAAAATAAGTAAAAAAGAAAACTTGATTCAGGCATAGAATAAATAGAGAGGGCTGAAAGAACAGAATAAAAATAGATCATAAACAGGAAACGTAAAATGATGTGTCAGTAATTAGGTTAACCATATTGCCATAATAACTTAGAGTTATTATAAGTATTTTATTTATTATAAGTCATTATAGCACGTTATAAGGGGGTAATTTCTCTTAACGAAAGTGAGTGCTCACAGCTTAGATTAAAATGCAAAAGTAGTTGTATCCTGTTTAGAAGACACATCCTAGTACAGACTGGAAATAAAAGAATAAGCTGAGTTCTAGCAGACAATCGGAACATGAGGAAAGTAAGGGACACCATCTCAGTCTCTGAGAGTATCGTCTTAGTGTGGATGAACTGGACGGAGAAAAAGAGAGCCTGTCTCGACACACAATATCATCCAGTGGAAATCCTAAGAGTCAGGATCTTTTATACATCAGACAACATACTATAAAAACATATCATTGTTTTTCTGTAAGTAGAAAGTTTAACAAAAGCATGTCCACAGTAGGTGACACTAAAACATATTTTTCCAAAAATTATCATATTAAGTAGACAAACAGGTAAGAATATAAAGGATTTGAATAATGTAATTAACAGGGTTGATTTTTTTTTTTTACACACTCATGAACAGACAACTTTGAACCTAATAAATGAAATGTTAGTTTTAAATATTCGATAGTTATAAAAATGGATGACAAATCAGACCTCAGAGGAAAATCAGTAAACAACCTTGAGAATAATACACATTCATAAGTATGGGTTGTAGAAAATTTATAGCCTTAATATTTTATTTATAAAATCAATAGATCAGTGAATGCTAATCAAATCAAATCAATCAAATCAAATCAATCAAGTCAAGATGGTATTTGTGTGTGTGTGTGTGGTGGGGGGTTAGGTTGAGAAATGAGAGGAAATTGGACAAATTGATTCTAAAGAATAAATTGGGGTACAGAATTGATTTATATTTTTTTAAAAGACGGTAATGATGGCAAAATGTACAGTAAGCTAAAATACTTAAGATGATACTGTTATAGGAATAGCCAAATAGATCACTGAAACACGTTAGCGATGATAGAAACGGACATTGTGTGTGTATGTATGTTAAAAGTGGCATTTCAAATTAGTGGTAAAGGATGATTTATTTAGCGTTTATAACAAAATAGGCCATTCATTTAAAAAAGTTAGATTCCTTTTTCTCGTACATCAAAATAAATCCCAATCGATTATGAAATTAAACTTAAAGAAGTATTAAAAAGTGTTAAAGAAAATATGTGAAAATTTCTCTGTCAACTTTGGACAGTGAATGCTTGTCCAAGCATGATGAAGCCAAAATGTAGGGTAGTAGACTGATAGATTTGTTTATACATGTTGAAACCTTTTGTGTAGCAATAACCGTACCGTGAAATAGTTGGAAGACAAATGGCTAAAGGTGGGAAGCATTTTGCAGTGTGATCCTTGGGTGAAGAACCACTCCTCTGTTGTTTGGAATCTTAATGTCATAGAACTTTTTGGAAAAACAAATGACTTCACACACAAACTGCATCTGTTAATGCCTAAGATTATCTGAGATGGAAAATGATGATATAAGCAGTAAAGATAGGCATGTTCTTTCAAAACATTTCATCAGTCCTGGTGAGGAAATTGATGATTAGCCTTGAACTTTTCAATCACTAAAGGGAAGAAGCAGCATTGGCTTTAAATATGGTATTCTGTCGAGAATCGCAAGGTCCATTCCAATCCACTCCTCACCCACAAGCCTGGTGTGTTTATGATAGCCTGCCAGAGCAAATGACAATTCAGGCACCCTAACAAAAGAAGTAATATATATGTGTATGTGGGTCTGACTCTGATTACTAATGGAAATTTTTTCTGATAAGAGTTTTCCAAGCTAAGTCAAAAAGCACAGGTTTTTTTTCCTCAAATGTTTAAATAGGTCCTCTCACTTCTGTGCCTCTCTTTCGGCTCTTGCTGTGCAATAGCATTTTGAGTTGTTAAAGTCTTCATGTTAAAATTATAACTTAAAAATAGAGTTCTTGGGTCTCTTTGTACCTTTTGATGGCAAGTCATTAAATTCATTCAAGTCATGAAGTTCTCTGATATTATTTAAACTTTCATGTGATTGTAAGCACCTTGAGAACAGATACGTCCTAAAGCTCAGTTAATTTGTTGGTTGATTATCACAGTGACCTTTAACCAGTGTAGTCTGAGAAATAAGAAAAGGTCATTAAGGTAAATGAGTAGGTCAATGGCTAGTAGGCTTCTGAATTTCTGAGATGTAAGTTTCCTGTGCGTTCTCTAAATGTTGTATTAATTAATAAGGGTGGGAGATTAGAAACTCTAGTTTTAGGTTACCTATTCAAAATTGGACAAAAAGCTGAATTATTTAGCAGACGCTCAAGGTCACTTGCTCCGTGTCCTGAACAAACTCCTTTGCCTTTGAAAAGTTTATTCAGTTGATATAGGGCACTCTCATGTGGATGTGCAGGTTGGACAAGACAATACATGGGTGTATTCGTCAGGGTTCTCCAGAGAAGCAGAACCAATAGGATATGTGTGTGTGTGCGTACATATAGAGAAAGAGATTTAGCATAGGAATTGGCTTGCTTGATTGTGAAGGCTGGCAGGTACACATCTGCAGTGTGGACCAGCAGGGTCAAGACCAAGGAGAGCTGATGATGCAGTTCTAACCCAAAGGTCAGCAGGTAGCAAGCCAGGAGAGCCCGTGTTCCACGTCCACTCCAAAGGTCAGCAGGCCAGAGGCCCAGGAGAGCTGATGGTGCAGGTGAAGTCCGAAGTCAGTCCGCTGGAGAATTTCCCCTTGTTCGGGGAGGCCTGTCTGGCTGTTCTGATCAGGCCTTTGACTGGATGAGGCACACCCACGTTGTGGAGGGCAATCTGGTTTAGTCAGAGTTCACCAATTTAAATATTAATCTCATCCAAAAACACCCTTTTAAGTTGATACATAAAATTAACATCACAGGGCCGGCCCCGTGGCTTAGTGGTTAAGTGTGTGCACTCCGCTACTGGAGGCCCGGGTTCGGATCCAGGGCATGCACCGACGCACGGCTTCTCTGGCCATGCTGGGGCCGCATCCCACATGCAGCAACTAGAAGGATGTGCAGCTATGACATACAACTATCTAGTGGGGCTTTAGGGGCGGGGGGGAATAAAGAAATAAATTAATTAAATTAAATTAAATTAACATCACAATAAAGTAGGGAATTGACCTACTGGCTCTCAGGCCTTGACTTACCAAAGTGCCAGTTTCTTCCTTGGGCTTCAAATAGGACTAATGCAAACCAGCTTAGTAAGCCCCTCAGGAACTCTTGAGTAAGATCCATGTAAGAATATAAATGTTAACCAAATTTGGGGCTATTAGATAAAACTAGAGCTTTAGAAAATAGTATAGTTTAGAGATGATACTAGACCATAGAGATAAGATATAATACATGCTTAAATGTCACAAATTCAAAATGCATTCCGAAAAGAGTTAGTGGGTTCTTCCTATAGAAATTGTGGGAATACAGTGGGGAGTCTTTGGGAACTTTACTGAAGATCAGGAGGCATCTTGATAGGCAAACTTCAGCAAGTTATAGTTTTGATTTAGAAATTTAATGAGCTAGGCAATAAGCGTGATCAGTAATAGGTTCATTTAACTAATGGTTGTAGTAGATCAGGTAAGTGCTACCATATTGACCCCATTGTAAATTGAAAAGACAGTCAAAGAATTTAATAAAACAATCCCATTTGCAATAGCATCAGAAGAATAAAATACTTAGGAATAAATTTAACCAAGGAGGTGAAAGATATATACACTGAAAACTATAAGACATTGATGAAAGAAGTTGAAGATGACACAAATAAATGCAAAGATATCTTGTGCTCATTGTTTGGAAAAATTAATATTGTTAAAATGTCTGCATTACTCAAAGAGATCTATAGGTTCAGTGCAATCCCTATCAAAATTCCAATGTCATTTTTCATAGAAATAGAAAAAAAATCCTAAAATTCACATGGAACCACAAAAGACCCCTAACAGCCAAAGCAGTCTTAAGAACAACAAGGCTGGAGGCATCACACTTTCTGATTTCTAGCTATATTACAAAGCTGCAGTAATCAAAACAGTATGGTATTGGCATAAAAACACACACACAGATCAATGGAACAGAATAGAGAGCCCAGAAATAAACCCACACATATATGCTCAATTAATTTATGACAAGGAGCCAAGAATATACAATGGGGAAAGGATAGTCTCTTCACTAAATGTTGCTGGGAAAACTGGACAGCCACATGCAAAAGAATGAAAGTAGACCCCTATTTTACACCATGCACAAAAATCAATTAACAATGGATTAAAGAGTTGAATATAAGACCTGAAACCATAAAACTCCTAGAAGAAAACATAGGAGGTAAGCTCCTTGACATCAGTCTTGACGATGATTTTTTTTGGATTTAACACGAAAGCAAGGGCAACAAAAGCAAAAATAAACAAGTGGGACTACATTAAATATAAAAGCTTCTGCACAGTATAAGAAACAGTCTGCAAAATGAAAAGGCAACCTATGGAGTGGGAGAACATATTTGCAAATTAAGAGGTTAATATCCAAA